GAGTGGATGACATCAATGAGCTCCCTCCTCAAAATCTTTCCTGCGGCAGATTTTGGAATGGAGCTGACAAATGCAACTCGCCGAATCTTCTTATACGGTGCAACCTGCAAAAATTACAAGAACACGCAAAACTGACTGACCACTCGAGAACAAATTCAATAAAAATATAATAATAAACTAGAGGTTATACTGAAAATAAGTTAACTGTGTGGTGAAAGCTGTTTTGCAAAGACTAACTCGTGAAAGCTACAGGGCAGAAAAAGGTCTCATACCGTAAGAGATCAAATTTATGGATAAACATTTAAATCAGAAAGAAGGATAAACATTAAAATCATATATCTTGATTCTTGACCACTAGGAAGTAAGCATGCCTGTTTTGCGACGAATTCCATGACTTGAATTCCACTGAGATTGCTTCCAGGTTTTCTCACTACAAATGCCATGGGAATTTGCCCTGCTTCTTCATCAGGACACCTATCATTAGTAATACAGAAAGAAACTAATTCAGTATAGGTGTAATTAATTTGCATGAAATTGTAAAGTAAACTGGAAAAATTCTCTGAGCTTACTTTGGCTTAATTCTCAAGTAATATGACATTTGGGAAAACAAACTTTGTAAATGCACAGTCATAATGAAGTATGAGCCAGGACAAATCAAATAGCACAATCACATTGGTACAAAGTGCATGACCAAAATTAAAAACCCTTTTAAAGACAATGCTTATTACATCAAACCAGGAGTAATAAAGTTCCTAATGGTCCTGTACTTCTGAAAGCATAGATCTTGTGGTGCTCAATGAGACCAGAGTAGAATAATTGAAAACAGGTTTTCCATTCAAAGTGTCCAAATAGGTAGCCAACATCTAAACTTTGCAGGTTGAAATTATTTAGCAATTTTCAGAACTCGGTACCATTCGTGTGCACATCCAAACATTTGTATAGTTTCCATGTGTACTGTTAGGGCAATGTAATGTATTATGGTTATCCAACTACAATGTATTTACACATGCTGGCTTTCTATTCCCACGAGAGATTATCCAACAGCAATTGCAAAAAAGGGATGAAATATTAAGATAAATATGTCAAATACATACGGCACTACAGCAACATCAGCAATTTCTGAGTGGGACTGAAGCAAATGTTCCAACTCGACCGGAGGAACCTGCCATTGGTTCAATTCAAATGGTTGAGATGATTACCATAACATAATCTATGGCATATAGCCATACACTAACTTCAGTCAGTCAAAAGGTACCTGGTATGCCTTGTATTTTATTAATTCCTTTAACCTGTCAACAATGTAGAGGAAGCCATCAGTATCAAAATAGCAAAGATCACCAGTTTTTAACCATCCTTCTGAATCCAATGTAGCAACAGTCGCCTCATCATCTTCAAAATAACCTGCGAATACAGACATTCTACATCAAACGAGAGGCAGAAATGAATCTCCACGCCTGAACATAAATATAACGAAATCCTCATTCTGCAGATCATCAACTACTAAAAACACAGTTTTTTCAATGAGTCGAAGGTTATCTGTGTGCATTAGTGCATAAGTTAGAGTTTGAAGAAATGCCAAAAGATGATTTACAAAAGAAAGATGATTTACAGGCTTGAAGCATGAACTCCAAGGTTATTACTAAGTTTCAGTAAGTCCAAAGAATTTCAAGATAAATCCTTGTCCAACATAGGGAGAAATATGTCCATTGATAGATTACAAGCGAAACATCAAAGTAACACGTTTTTATATATATGTTTTCAGTACTCAGTTATATGTGTCACCTTTCATGACAGTTGGGCCTCTTAGCCATAACTCCCCTCTCTGGCCAGGAGGCTCTGCCTCCCTAGTGATATGATCAACTATCTTGGCTTGTATATTTTCAGAAAGACGCCCAACAGAACCATACCTCTTGGTTTCCTCAGGCCCTAACATCCTCGCAGCTGCACCTGTTGTTTCAGTCATACCATACCCCTATTAAGAATAAAAGCAGGTTGTTGCTATAAGTTAACATCTACCCAGGCATGCAGGGAACTTATGCTCCTACAAAGGATAAACATAATCCTCAACTTACACATGGGAAACAGTTTAACATTTGAAAGAATGTAAGCAAATTTGTTTTTAATTACTTACATTCCTGGTAACCACATTGAAGCAGATTATCTTATTGTAATTACCATAACACACTACTTACTATAATTTAATATAGCCTTTAGTTGGTTTCAAACATCTGAACATGGAAATTAGGTACACTGATAAGTCTCTTGAATTGTACAAGCATATTCTAATAAAGGGCTACAATTCAATGTAGTAAGTTCAGTGACATGCAACAGGTTCTCTTATAATCTACTATGCACACAGATAAACAAATAAACATACCTGCGTTATTTGCACGTTGGGAAATCGAGAAATAAACTTTTCTGACACCTCTTTACCAAGCGGGGCACCACCACATGTCATGAGAAGAAGTGAGCTAAGATCAAACTTGTCCACCACATCTAACTTGGCCATAGCCACTACAAGTGACGGCGACACCGGTGCATAAGTTACTTTATAAGTTTCCACAGCCTTCAACATAGCCACAAAATCAAATCTTTCCATTAACACTATTGTCTCACCCAAAGCCACTGCTCTCAAAATTCTAGTGAATCCAAATACATGAAACAATGGAATTGTAAATAGACCAATTGGATGTGGTGGGTTTTCTTCCCCCGGTTCTGCTCGAACTTGATCGTATCCGGCAGTTAAACTGATGAAATTATGGTGAGTTAACTCAACTCCTTTAACTCGTCCAGTTGTTCCCGATGAGTAAAGAATTGCTGCTGTATCAGTTTGAACAACTTGAGCATTAACTCGGCCTGGTTGCTGAATCGTGAGCATAGATTTGAAATCAAGTGAGTCAACTAAAATCGTTCCGTGACGAAAAGATGGGAGTTTGTTAGATGTAACAGAAGTAGCAAAACCGATAACTGGTTTAGCAAGACTAATTTGGCGGGAAATTTCAGGAATTGTACTAATTGGATTGGCGGGAGAAACAATAACACCAAGTGAAAGAAGAGAGAAGTAAAGAATTGGAATTTGAAGAGAAGCTGGAGTGAGAATGAAAGCAGAGTCACCTCTCTTTAATCCAAATCGATTATGAAGAGAGAAAGACAATGATTCTGTTTGTTTAATGAAATCAGAATATGAAAGTGATGTACCAAATGAAGAATCAATGAAAGCGATTGTGTTTTCAAGTGATAAAGAAGATGATCTAAGAAGAGAAATTGCGTATTCCGATGCAGAGAGAGGTTGGTTTTTTGGTGGAAGAGTTACTTGAGATCGAAGACTATGGTAGATTTTGGTTTTAGAACAGAAACCAGAACTAAGATTTATTTCCGCCATTGAAACTTATTTGTTCTATTTATTTTTTACTCAGAAGAAGAATAGAGAGATGTCTTTGTTTGAACTTTAAGGTGTACAAATGGGAAGAAGATGTTTTTTGAATTTACGGAAATAGCCTTATAGTGTGTATGTATTAGTGTATTAGTGTATTTGTAATTTGTATTACTAAATTTGTGAAACGTTAGTGAGGTCCTTATTTGACTTTTGATCTATAAAAAATATAGAACGTGATACTTTTCTGGTGGGGACCAATTTTAGGTTGGGGTTCCGATTTGTTGGGGTTTAAGAAGGAGAAGAAGATGGGGAGGATAAAAGAGAGGAAAAAAAAATGTACCGATACACACAATTTTTTAACCTACTTTACCTTTTCATCCTCCATTTACAAATTCTTTTGAAATTTCCAGACTATATCCTATTGCCTAATTTTCTAAGAATTCTCAAGGTTTCGGTTATGCTTCAGTAAGTAAACTTTATTGTTTTGATGGAGTTTGTTATATTGAACCTGAAAAAGGTGTTATTACTAGAGTATATGGTACATAGGATTTTGGGTTTTCGACAGTAAAACTCCTCATACAGGGTGGTCTAAACACTTTTCTTCTATGCTTGTTGCAAGAATGACACCTCAGCTATCACTGTAGGTACACGCATTTTTATCTTTCAATCTGATCTGAGGTGGGCAGCACCATTAGAACCATGGTTTGAAGTGTTTAACACTGAGACTGGTAAATCTAGTTATCCATAAAAAGGCGCTTCTTCAGTGCCTAGTAAAAATTTTTAAAAGAGGTCTGTAGATGGTCTTGTCGTCTCGGATTTCGGGCATGTAAACTGAAACCAAAGAGTGACAACAAACTCAACATCCGCACCTCTGTCATCTATGTTCAATCATACATCTTTGATGGCTATATCTTTTACGGGTCTGTTGGATCGTAAGTAATATTATATTTCTATATACACTATACAGTACCATTTCACTTTCATTACAATTTGTGTCAACTTTCAATGACATTCTTTCTTTTTGCAGGTTTTCACTGTCAAAACCACCTTCAGAGTCGTCATCTTCATCTTTGTATGATGCTAGGATAGCACGGGCTTCAAAAATATACTAGTGAACCTTTGTATCAGATTTGCCGATTAGTAGTATTTTTTCATTCAACTGTTGTGCGCAACAACAAAACTGTTGTGATCTCTGTAAATTCTCGACATGCACCTGAATACCGGTATCCATGTGCCTACAATGATGGACGGCAATCACTTAATTGGGTTCATTCAAGGCCATGGCTCCGGAGTGGGAAGGACTCAAAGCTCGTGAAGAGTATTCTCTGACAGGTATATTTCTAGAAGTGTGCATTGGTGCTTTTTTATACTTTTTAGAAGTTCTATTTGGTTTCAAATTCTTCTAAATTTTGAATACAGATTTGTCGATCTTTCTTAATCTTTAGTAACATAGTAGAATGGAAAGCATTCTCTAGTATATATGTGTTTGTTTTGCTTGAATTCGTTTGTGTCCATTTTTTTTCTCTTTTGTTTATATTTGTGTTTGTTTTGCTTGAATTCGTTTGTGTTCATTTTTTTCCCTTTTGTTTATTACATAGTTGTTTGCCAATGGAATTCATTAGTTGGATCTTTAGCTCAAATGGTAGAACACCTGGGAATGCAATATGTTTCTAATGCATCTCAAGAGATAGTGGTTCAAATCCACCAAGATCCTTGATGCACACTTTTATTAGTTAGACTGTATGTTGCATGCTTATTTTGACCTCTTTTATCTAGTGTCTTTTACAATTTTACTGATTGATGGCTGTCTTTTACACAAGCCATCTATATTTGTGTGGCTATTTTCCACTGATTCAGAAAAGCATTGAATCATAATTTAGATAAAGGTGTAGTTTGGATGGAATCAATGAGCTCCTTCCTCGAAATCTTTCCTGCGGCAGATTTTGGAATGGAGCTGACAAATGCAACTCGCCGAATCTTCTTATACGGTGCAACCTGCAAAAAGTACAAGAACACACAAAACCGACTGACCATTCGAAAACAAATTCAATTAAAAAAAAAAAATTTCCAATTGCTATAGAGATTATACTGAAAATAAGTTAACTGTGTGGTGAAAACTGTTTTGAAAAGACTCACTCGTGAACGGTACAAGGCAGAAAAAGGTCTCATAGCGCGAGGCATCAAATTTATGGATAAGCATTTAAATCAGAAAGAGGGATAATATTCAAATCATATACTGTATCTTGGCAACAAGGAAGTAAGCATGCCTGTTTTGCGACGAATTCCATGACTTGAATTCCAGTGAGATTGCTTCCAGGTTTTCTCACTACAAATGCCATGGGAATTTGCCCTGCTTCTTCGTCAGGGTACCTGTCAATAGTAATGCAGAAAGAAACTTATTCAGTATAGGTACAGGAGTGTTTAATTCTCAAGTAATATGACACTTGGGAAAACAAACTTTGTAAATCCAGTCATAATGCAGTATGAGCCAGGACAAATAGAATAGCACAACCACATTGGTACAAAGCACAAGACCAAAAATAAAAACCCTTTCTAAAGACAATACCTATTACATCAAACATGGAATAATAAAGTTCGTAATGTTCCTATACTTCTGAAAGCATAGATCTTTTGGAGCTCAATGAGACAAGAGTAGAATAATTGAAAACAGGGTTTTCCATTAGAAGTGTCCAAATAGGTGGCCAACATCTAAACTTCGCAGGTTGATGACATATCAATTTATTTAGCAATTTTAGGAACTCGATACCATTTTTGTGCTCATCTAAACATTTGTGTTAGTTTCTATGGTACCTACTGTTAGGGCAATGTAGTGATGTATTATGGTTATCCAACTATGATGTATTTACACATGCTGACTTTCTATTCCCACACAAGATTGTCCAACAGCAATTGCAAAAAAGGGATGAGTTATTAAAATAAATATATCAGATACATACGGCACTACAGCAACATCAGCAATTTCTAAGTGGGTCTGAAGCAGATGTTCCAACTCGGCCGGAGGAACCTGCCGTTGGTTCAATTCAAATGGTTGAGATGATTACCATAACATAATCCAAGGCATATACAAAACTTCAGTGACCAAATGGGCCAATGGAGTCAAAGGGTACCTGGTATGCCTTGTATTTTATTAATTCCTTTAACCTATCAACAATGTAGAGGAAGCCGTCATTATCAACATTGCAAAGATCACCAGTTTTTAACCATCCTTCTGAATCCAATGTAGCAACAGTCGCCTCATCATCTCCAACATAACCTGCAAATACAGACATTCTACATCAAACGAGAGGCAGCAATGAATCTTTACGCCTGAACATAAATATAACGAAATCCTCATTCTGCAGATCATCAACTACTAAATAAACAGTTTTTTCTATGAGTCCAAGGTTATTTGTGTGTGCTGCAAAAGTAACCTGGTTTAATATGTGCATAAGAGTTTGGCATTTCTTCAACTTAATAATAAAAAATGAAAAATTGAAAAAAGAAAGATGATTCACAAGCTTGAAATATGAACTCCAAGGTTATTAATAAGTTTCAGTAAGTCCAAAGAATTTCAAGATAAACCCTAACCCTGTCCAACATAGGGAGAAATATGTCCATTGATAGATTACAAGCAGGCTCAAACATCAAAGTAACACATTTTTATATATAT